ACAATACTGGAAGAGAAGGAGAAGAGGCCCTGTTCGAGATCATACGCTCCCCTCGCGGGCCAGATGATCAGAATGAAGAAGATGATGGCTCCCAATATCTGAACAATACCGGGGAGGGTTATATGATATTCGATCACGCCGACCGAATTGATGAAGTCATGAACTATGATTATGATGACGAAGAAAATATTGATCTTGAAATAACAGAGACCGGCGAGGTATATTTATATAAGCAGGCATCTGATGATCATCACATGTTTTAAATGATTTAAAGATATATTAATGAATCGGTCTTTCTTCTTTCAGCCCTCCGGATCGAGCAAATCTTCTACAGGCAGCAAGACAGTGCGAGGCTCGGCCAAAAAGTTGAAGTAGGGCGTAATGTACAACATCGATGCCATCAAAACTAATGGCGAACCAATCGCGCATATGAACATTGCGAACAAGTTCGCGCGTTAGTGCGGAGTTCTTGTGAAGGACCAACTCCCGATTTCTCTTCAATAATGGAAAGAGCCAGCAAAGAAATGTCTAGATCTTACTTTTGTCGACGACAGAGCAAAATCTCTACTTTGGGAATCTCTCATGTAACATTTCACCCTACCAGATCATTTCACAGATGCAGATGTGCAGAAAGTTAAGGACGCTGCTCTTAGGAAGATGGCAATTGCATTCAACAACCACAAGAAAACTATATGGACCAACTACGTCGCAGGAGGAAGGAAGACTCCGGAATTCAAGGGAACACTGGAGAAGCAAAGAGATCACTGGCCCGCTTTCGTGAAATTTAAGGAATCAGAATTATCTAAGAAACGGTCGAGAAAAAACAAGGCCAATTCCGCAAAAAGAAGCAGTTCCATAGGCTGGGGCTAGGTGGCTACAGGGTGGCAATGCCTAAGTGGGATAAGTCTGAGCAAGAGATGCTAGCTGCAGAGGTCACTCCAGTTACATTGAGCTGGCCCCCACGTGCAGGACTTGGTTCTATGCGCATAGGGGGTGTTGGACTCGAAGACAGGCTAGGTTTCGAAGAAGGCATGTCTTAAAGGAGCCGAAGATAAGTTACTTGATGCAATAGAAGATGCTCGAACGGGGGTGTTCACGCCCAATAGAGAGAACGACGAGCTTACACGTGCCCTGGGAAATCCTGAACACCTGGGAAGAACACGAGGCAATGGCGTTGTTCCGTGGTATGAGGGGTTTTCGGACTGGACGAACAACTACAGAAGCCATGCGAGAAGGAAGATGGAGGAGGAGAAGAAGAGGAAGCTGGAGGAGGAGTAGAGGAAGAAGGAAGTAGAACGCCTTCAAGGACTAGAATCAGCGCACGCGGAGTTGGCACTCAAATTCCAGCGACAGCAGCGGTAGATCGACTCACTTAGCCAGGAAAGGGGGTCTCAGCTGCGGCAGCAGCTAGCGGATGATCCATCATTGGACAGCACCGTCCCATCCATGCCGAGAAGTAGCATGGGTTCCGCCCCGGGTGACGCACTGCTGGATAGATACCCTGTGGATGACATCATGGAGAACACTAATTGTGAGCTACACTTCAAAATGAAGAACATATCCATGAAGGTGGTGGACGTCGTTGCTTATACAAATCCCCCGAAGCAACCTTCCATTGCAACCCGATTCCAGCTGGCTATGCTCGTGTCGTGGTTGATGAGGTGGTGGACCAATATTCGGGGCTAGAGCTTGACATTCCTCAAGGCCACCATGAAGCTCTCCCACCTTAGGTCCCCGCCCAAGCCCGTAGCCGTCCTCGATGGCCTCGGCCTCTCTACCGCCGATGTCGCCACCCTCGTCGCCAAGGACGCGTTGTTACTTTGCACCAGCATGGAGAGAACATTGGCGCCCGCCGTCACGAGGCTCTCCGGACTCGACGTATCGCATTTTGAGGTCTCGCGCCTCGTCTCGGTTTCTGCCGGCCTCTTCCGGCATAGATCCATCGTCTCCAACTTGCAGTACTGTCTACCCCTCCTCAGGTCCTTCGAGAACCTCTCACACGCGGCCAGCCATGGCTCCTGCCTTGTCTTGGCTAACCTCGAGCGGGTGGTCAACACCAACATTGCTCGCCTCCAAAAAGAGTGGGCTAGGTGCTTTTGATATTGCCAAGTTATGCCGCATTGTGCCACGGCTACTCAGCAGCAACTTAGAGCGTGTCCAGGCGGCGGTGACGTCCGCCGAAGCAATCGGTCTGCCCCATGGATCTAGGATGTTCAGGTATGCGATGTAATCTGTTGCATTATTCAGCGAGGAGATGGTCGCTGCCAGATTGGACTACTTGAAGAAGACGTTCGGGTGGTCGGATGCCGACGTGAGAATCGCTCTGTGTAAGGCTCCGTATTTGCTTAAAATCAAAGGAATTACTGCAGTGCAGGTCTGAATTCCTCTTCTCTAAGGTGGGGTCAGGACCAGCCTACATTGCTGGTCGGCCCGCAATGATCTGTGACTGCCTAGAGGGCCGGTTGAGACCCTGGTACCATGTTGTAAAGTTTCTCAAGGAAAATGGATTGCTCAAGCGCGAACCAAGCAACTATACCGTTTTCAACGTGTCCGAGGATGTTTTTATGGCCAAGTTCATATGCCCTCACAAGGAAGTTGCGCCGCAACTAGCTGAAGACTATTCCGCCCCTTGCAAAGGGGAAGTACCTTCTAATTTCAGATTTACATGAACCAAGAACGGGCACACCACACTGGTTGGACGTACGTTCGGATATGGAAGGAGGCATCGTATTCGCACAGCTGAACATGTTCGAGCACCAGTTTCATGTATTTTGCAACTTTAGGCACTAAACCGAATACGCATGACAAGTCGAGGCACCACCAATGTATTTGACTCTTACAAAACACAAGGAATAACTTGTTGATCATCTCTTCTGTGCACCGCTGCTCCACCGATATATCGTATTGCATCTACAATTTTCATCAAGAGACAGACAACTCTAACAGTGGCAGAGCTACGACAATGCCGAATGGGCCGTGGCCCGCCTAACCCATGCACTTTTCTGTAGTGTATACATATTTGTGGGCCATGAAATATAATCCCTATAGTTAATTCCTACAGTCGGCCCGCCCAGCTTTCCGAGCCTAGCTCCGCCACTGAATTCCGGTGCATGCATTGACTTGATGTCCTTTTGTCTTATGCTATCCGTGGCTCAATTGAACGGTTATGTTCCACACTAAGCACTAGTGTCCTCATGCTACTCAAAGTTTTATTGAATTCTTGTGTTCTCCATTGAGCATTTTTGCATCTTTGTGCTCTCACCCTACGTCCAGTGGCGTAGCAGCATCTTGTAGTGCACTGAGCATCGGTGTCCTTTTTCCTGGCGTCTCCTACTCCCTTATGCTTTTAGATTCACATCTCCTTCTCTTTCCATCTCATCTCTTTGTGCTAATATGTCTTCTGTATAGATGGTGCGGTATATATGCATATGCCCATCCGCGGGGGTTGGGTTGGTTGGTGGTTAATGCCCTTACTAAAGTAGAGTGACTTTGGAAGCTTCCCAAATGGCTTGATATATTATATTGCATACTGCCGGTTGTTGGAATGCATCAATCTGTAAAACAAAAGATGGTGCCTCTCTTTTATAATCTATTGCATGTAGTTGTTCACTGTAGCTCTATTTTTATAACTTAGTAATGAATAGGTGATATACATGTTTGGATCCTTTAAGAGACCGATGGTGCATTTGTAAGATAAGTTTGTTTGTCCATTGCCTACACATGTTGAATGAGTGATGGTCATGACGTGTGTAAATTTCATATACAGTACC